TACAGAGCAGACACCGCTGCTGCTGCTGCAGCTACAACAGCTGCAGCAGCAGCTGCAGCAGCAGCTGCAGCAGCAGCAGCACCCTGCTGCTTGTCTCTTGTTTGCTCTGCTTCAGTGTGCGTCCCGCTGGGCTGCGCGCTACTGCAGCGCTTAGTAGCAGCAGATGCTGCTACCTAGCAGCAGCTGCTGCTGCAGCACCTGCATGCACCCAGCAGCACACAGCAGCAACTGCTGCTGCAGCTCCAGGTGTCTCCATTCGCTCTACGGCTTCTGAGCCCCATCAGGAGACACAGCTTCATTGCAGGCAGCAGCAGCAGCAGCAGCAGCTGCGGCTGCTGCTGCTGGCTCCGCACTGGCTAGCTGCTGCTCCTGAGCTGCAGCTGCTGCTGCTGCTGTCGCTGTCGCTGGTGTTGCTGCTGCTGCTGTGACGCCTTCTGCTGCAGCCTCTGCTTCTGGCTGCTGGGCATTCACTGCCGCCCCCACAGACCCCCATGCTGCAGCAGCAGCAGCTACTTGCTGCTCTTGGCTCTGCATCAGCGCTTGCTGCTGCTGTTGCTGCTGTTGCTGCTGCTGCTGCTGCTGCTGCTGCAGTCGAAGGGACTCCAGAGCCGCTGCCCCCTCTGCCCCTGCGGGCTCCGCTGTGTGCCGAGGAGCTGTTGGACTGGCAGCAGCAGCAGCTGCTTCTCGTTGTCGCTGCGATGAGTCTGCTGCTGCTGCTGCTGCTGCTGCTGTTGCTGCTGCTGCTGCTTCATTTGCTGTGTCTTCAGCAACGCCCCCTGCAGCAGCTGGTGCAGCAGCAGCAGCATTTATTGCAGCAGCAGCAGGCAGTACTGCAGCCTTTTGTGCAGCCCCCGTGGCTGGCGTTTCGGAGGCAGCAGCAGCAGCAGCAGCAGCAGCAGACGGCGGGAGAGCCATGGACAAAGCAGCAGCAGCAGCAGCAGCAGTTGCAAGGAGAGGGGATCCCTGCGGCGGTGGAAGGAGAGTCGACCCCGGGGAGCACAGCAGCCCCCCTACTGCTGCAGCTGCTGCGGGTGCTGCTGCTGCCGCTGCTGCTGGTGCTGCTGCTGCTGGCAGCAGCTGAGACACCGCTGGTGCTGCTGCAGGACGAAGGATACTCCCAGCAGGCGAGTGTGCAGCAGAAAGAGTGCCGAGCTGCTGCTGCAGAGCAGCAGCAGCAGCTGCTGNCTCCCAGCAGGCGAGTGTGCAGCAGAAAGAGTGCCGAGCTGCTGCTGCAGAGCAGCAGCAGCAGCTGCTGCTGCAGGGTGCCCTGCTGTCGCAGCTCGCTGCAGCTGCTGCAGCGCTGTGCTGCTGCTGCTGCTGCTGCTGCTATCACCGCTTAGAGCTGCCAGTCTTGCGGCAATCTGTACAGTGTCCTGCTGCTGCTGGATGTGTTGTATCTGCTGCTGGATTTGCTGCTGTCTCTGCTGCAGCACCTGCTGCTGCATTAGCTGCTGCTGCAGCAGCCGCTGCTGCAGCAGCTGCTGTGGGAACTGCGTAGTCCCCCCCAGGCGCCCCTGCAAGTGCTGCTGCTGCAGCTTGCTCTGCAGCTGCTGCAGCTGCTGCAGCTGCTGCAGCTGTTGTAGCTGCTGTGCCTGCTGCTGCTGCTGCTGTGCTTGTTGTTCTTGAGACGGTTGCTGGCTTGGTTGCTGCGCCTGCATCTGCTGCTGCTGTTGCTGAAGCTGCTGCTGCTGCTGCAACTGCAGCTGCAGCTGCTGCTGCTGCTGCACTTTGACTTGCAACTGGTGCAGCTGTAGCTGCTGCAGCAGCTGCTGCTGCCTAGCCTGCAGCAGCTGCTGCACTGATGCGGCGCTGATCCCTGGGGCCAGTGTGCCTGTCTGCTGTTGCTGCTGCTGCTGTTGCTGCTGCTGTATCTGCTGCAGCAGCTGCAGTTGCTGCTGCGTATACTGCTGTTGTTGCGGCTGCGTCAAGAGCTGCTGGAGGGACGCGGACAACTGGCCCGGCTGCTGTTGCTGTTGCTGCTGCTGCGTTTGCTGTTGTTGTTGTTGCTGCTGCTGCTGCTGCTGCTGCCCTTGAACACCTGCCTGCAGGGAAGCAGCACGCTGCTGCAGCAGCATGAGCTGCTGCTGCTGTGATGCGTGCTGCTGCAGTTGTTGGTGCCGCTGCTGCAAGATGAGCTGTTGCTGCTGCAGCTGCTGACTAACCCCCTGTGTCTTCGTTTGCTGCTGCTGGTTCTGGATGTGCTGCTGCAGCAGCTGCTGCTGTAGCTGGTGCTGCAGCAGCTGCTGCTGCAGCGGTGGGTATGCGGGTGGCCTTGAAGGTGAGGGGGCCTGCTGCTGCTGGGCTGCGGAGCTGCTGCTGCCGCCGTTGTTGTTGCTGCTGCTGCTGCTGCCACCACCAGGGGACTGAGCTGCTGCTGTTGCTGCTGCTGCAGCAAGTATCCCCACTGCTGATGCCTGCTGCAGCTGCTGCTNGACTGAGCTGCTGCTGTTGCTGCTGCTGCAGCAAGTATCCCCACTGCTGATGCCTGCTTTTTTTTTTTTTTCTGTAGCTGCTGCACTGTTTGCCGTTCCAGACGGTGTCATGTTGCTGCTGCTGCTGC